GGTTTAAATTCCATTTGTTTTTCCCTCCAAAACTATAACAAACTCACCTTTAAATAAGTTGCTCAATCACACTTTCAAGGGGATGGCTCTTGGAGAGAGTGAATCATCAAGGAGAGAAAGGAAACAATAAAGCATTCATAAACTCAGAATTCCCAAACAAAACCAAAACTTTTGTTCTTCCCTTTGAATCAAAGAACATAGTATTTCCTGCTCCATTCTAGAACATCTGAAGGTAGCAACTCAAGTTCCAAACACACGTTCCAGATTCAAGGTAATTCTTTCTGACTTTGAACCTTTTCATTCAGAACATCATTAAATATGTAAATATCATAATATTGATGTTGTCCATATCATTTCATGAGTAGAAAAAACCGTGGATCAGAACTTCTTGAATAAGGCTAGGCTCATAATTAGGATTAGAACTTCTATGAACGGTTGTGCTTTTATCTTTCTGTTTTGCTGTCGCTAAGAACTGAATAAATTGCAGATGTTCTAACTAATGTAAGGAATGAGGTGAAATATAATACAGAATTTCTGGGTTTTCTTTCCCACTGTTTAGCACAATACAGAACTTCTGAGTTCTCTTCACTATTTTGACATGGAACTTCTGATTTTCACTCACTATTTTAACATATAGAACTTCTGATTTTACTCACTGTTTTAGCACAACGCAGAACTTCTGAGTTCTCCTTACTGTTTAAACACAAAACTTCTAGACTTTCTCACTGTTTTGAGACCGCACAGAACTTCTGAGTTCTCCCCACTTTTTTAACACACAGAACTTCTGATTTTCACTCACTGTTTAACACAAACACATAACTTCTGACTTTTCACTCATTATTTAACACAACACAAAACTTCTCACTTTTTGCCCACTGTCTAAACACAACCCAGAACTTCTGTTTTTGCCCTCTAACGTTTCTTTCAGGATTCCAATGACATCAACCCAAAACTTCTGATCACCTCTGACGTTTCTTGCTGAACCAAAACGCGCTTGGCATTAGAACTTCTGGTCCTCTTTATTTTGCTTTCAGCAAGATGCTGATCCTTTTTCTCTTTATTTTTCCTTTTTATTTTATTTTATTATTAATACTATTTTTTATTAATATAAAAAAGACACAAAAATATTTTCTTTTTATTAACTAATTATTTCCTTCCTTTCTCCTAATTCATTAAGACAAAAAACCATTTTCGAAACAAGTCTTTTCCTTTTCTTATATTGTACAATTCAATATGGTTGTAATAGATAATTAGGATTTGAATTATTGCAAACCCCCATTTGCAATTATCTACCCCCTTCCCTAAATGATGTAATAGCGTAAGACTTTACATTTTCGCAATTTATCGCTTTCGAATATAAATGCTAGTAATTAGGATTTGTATGACAAGACATAAAATCAACAAATAGATAACCCTAATCAAGACTAAATGCATGAAAAACAAATACACTTACACACTAGAACCCTTAGGGTAATCCCATTTTGTTGCCTTTCGGAAAATAGTCATGTCCCTCGAATATGGGCGTTTTAGCAAAGACCCTCGATAAAAGATCGTAGTCCCTCGATGACCCCATAATGTTGTCTTCGGTAAACGATCTAGTCCCTAAGTGACATTGCTAAAACGTCCCATAGGTTGCCTTCTATGACTATACAAATGTCTCGCACCTGTTCCTTCACATCCAACAATGGGGCTTCTTACCAAGATAATAGTGAGATAGCAACATCTAAAGGAGGAGGAAAAGAACATCTAAGACCTTTTGAGTAGGTAGATTCGCTCCTAGTTTCTCGCTTGCTCACAACAAAAACATTTTTATACACCAACACTTTCACTTTGAAACATTTTCAAAATACAAACACTTTGTACGCGTTCTTATAGAAACGAGAGCCATTACAAAGAAGACACCTTTTCAAAATCACTTTCAAAAACACATTCCACAAACACCTCTTTGAACTATTTTCGTAACAAACACTTTGTACGCGAATTCTTATAGAAACGAGAACCATTACAAACACATTTTCAAAATACTTTTAAAACCCACACCACAAGCACACATTCAAACAAAAAGCAAGTGATCTAGCAAGCAAATAAGAGCCCGTGGATAACTACAGATTGAAAGGATGCTAATATCTTCCCTTTTCATAATCTATCCCCCGAACCCAGAAAACATCTCTAAAGGTCTTTCCTATTACTTTCAGCCTTTCCTTTTGGATAAAAGAAAAGTTGGTGGCGACTCTTGCTATCCGCATAATTGCGATCAAACGCAAAACAACCAAGTCAGTTCTCCCACCGCGTTACACTTGTGAAGAGTTTATCATCGTGTTGGAAGAGAGAGGATGGATGAGATTTAATAGCATGATCTAAGAGACAAAAAAATCCATTGGGCTTGAGTTTTATGGAAATGTTGCCTTGTGTATGTTCAAAGACTAAAATTCTTATGTGTGAGGTAAAAGTATTGATTATAGACCTGCTAAAATTAACGTTCTTCTTCATATCCAATCTCTTAATAGATGTAATATCCAAAATAGAAAGGGAGTGAGTATGACTAGGAGAATGTTCTGGACTGGACCTGCCCTTGGCCCAATCACCAGTGAAGCCCAACCCAAGATTGCCAACATACCGTACTGAGCAGTATACCCTCCGAGCATACCCCGATCATGGGTATCTTGTCGACTATGATTGCTTCCCGCCGGTGCTCACGAAGAATGTCCCCGACGAGCGCGCGCTCCCATCGAGCACCCTCCTTGTAGGGATGACTTTCAAACCTCTCCGGATTTTGCGGAGTCTTCATGGTCTCGGGAAGACCGCGTCTTTATCCTCCCTGTCTTGCGGAGGGCGTCATCCAGGTAGGGGGCCACGTGCAGGTTCCCACTACTCACATAGAACCTGGTAGTCTCTTTGTTGGGTCTGTTTGATCAGCCCAATAAAGAGACCTTGGCCCAACGTCGGGGGCTATAAATACCCTCTATTTCAAGAGAGTCAGGTATTCATTCATTCACACCTACATTCATACTTGCTTGCTTATTCCGTCTCTCACTTTGCCCTCAGAGTGTCTTGCAGGTACCCCCCCCCCCCATCTCCTTCAAATCTAGTCCGAAGCCAACTGTGACGGTTCAACTCTGATCAGGTCAGATCAGAGAATATGTGAGAGGATGATAGAGGAATTTTGTCAACATGGGGCAAAGTGGGTGACTATAAAAGAGAAGCCATTAAGGTTTCACCCTAGGTAGATGTGCTCAATACCAAAGGCATGGGCCTCATTTATTGTTCAAATACTTGAGTCTACATCTAACCAGTCTGAATGTATCGTGAAAAGAGGACATGCTTTGATGGAAATTTTAAATCAATAGCCTATTGATGTCGGTTACTGATTGCTGAATATATCAAACATATGTTGGTTAGTTGGAGTTCCTAGTCACCCATCGTTATAACCATAATGGTAAGCTCTATGCATTCAATCAACAGGAGCACCGTGAGAAAAATCCACTCACATCCAATCAATGAAGGTGGCTAACAAGATCAAGAACAACAAGAAGAACCAAATCAATTCTACCATCCATCCTGTAATTCATCAACCGAAAGGATATCCTCATCAACAACAACAAGCACATGATCGTTTGCAAAGACTTGAAGATTGTGTTGGGCACGACAAGTTAGGTCAATGAGATCTCACCCAACTTTTATGCTCAGCCACCAAGATTTAGACCTGCTTATCAGGCTTTTTATAATGAGCATAGACATCACATGTCGGCCCAAAACTTGCGGGTGCACCTCACCACTACTGCATGTTTGAGACTTGCTTCACTGAGTAAGATCAAGCTTTAGCTAATAAGAGAGCTGAGATGAGGACTACCTAGGCAAGACAAAACCAACAATTTTTGGATGGCATGAATCATTTGAAAAACTACTTTAACTCTAACAACATATGCTTTAGGAGTTATCAGTTTTAGTTTTATTTCAATTTATTTCCTTTTTGTATTATGATCCAAGCAAGAGTAGCAGCTAGTTATAAGAATGATCATATTTGTACTACTTCTTTATGCTTTAATTAGTGAACATGTTTTTTGTTGTTGTTTTTTTTAGTTTTAATTTGCTACCTTACCAGTGCCATTATTATGAAAAAAAAAGAAAAAGTTGCAAAAAAAAAAAAAGAACAAATCATCCATTGATCTAGCAAACCATTCAATCAGACATGTAAAAAGCAAATACGTTGAGAGAAGATTCTATTTATTGAGATCAAGTAAACAATTATTGGTTGGAGGGTGAATTTTGTTGAACTAAGATGCAATTGACTGATGTGTTGACATAATCATTGAAGAAAGCAAGATTTGGTTACTTGAAGAAATTTATTAGAATGGAGTCTTTCAGATATGAATTAGGTGATATGAATTAGGTGGTGTGCTAAATTGAAATCATAGTTTGAAAATGGTTAAACATTAGTTGGTTAAAAATTAATTAAGGTAGTTAGTGTTTGTTAAGAAACTTGCTATACAAGTCATGTGTTTAGCTTAAGTTTGTTAAAGCCTTATATGTACTTAACTACATATATCATTCAATAATATTCATTCCCTTTTATCAATATAGTCATCCTTGCTTACTTTGATCCTTTTAATAACTTGCAAACGAAGGTAGCTCAGAACACAAACAAATGAATTTCCTTCTTCTTTCTTATGCCTTGCATATAGCAATATCATTCCAATGAAATAATTTGTTTCTTTTTCTCTTATTTTTATTTTTTGTTGGTTTGCTTCTATTTGTAAAAAAAAAAAAAACTTTCCCCCACAAACATGTAATATTCACACTTTAAAAACAGAATTAATATGAAAATTTTACATCACTCTCCAACAACTGTCTTACGACTTGTATGGAGTGTTATTGTATCTGTTATTTGCTACACTTGAGAAGAATAAAAATGTATCACACCCCTATCTAATTACTATCACTACCTTTAAAAATTTTGTATCATGAAATTTCTATACAAATAAAATCTTCTACCTACTTGTTTAAATCCTAAACCATGTAGAAACTGGTTTTTTCCAGCATCGAAGAGCCTCTACCACCCATGCGAACACCAAGACTACCATAATAATCGAAAGAGACATCATCAAAGCCCACAACAGTTTAGTTGAAACTCTTATTGGTTTGCATTGATGCAGCACAATTTCAGAAGCTTTGTTCTTCACCATGGTGCATTTTGATAGTTTTTGCAAGTCCGGATATATATCAAGCATGTCCTGGATTGATCTACTATATGCATGAGCCATGTTGTATGAGGTTTGTGGAACAAATCTTCCGTTCTTTCTGCATTTTTCTATTGTATCCTCTCGGCTACATGTGAACCTTGCAAGAAACTATAAACAAACGCGTTTTAAATAATCGGTGCCTGAATATCATTACTCGGACTTACTTAACTTTGAAATTATTGCAGACTTACTTTTGGTAAATCACCAATTCGAACGGCGTCATGAGGACAACTTTGTGGAATGTAGGTGTAATTTGGTGCTCCAGAGAAAGGGTTACAAATTTTCATGACTCCTATTATTTCTTCCTTTTCTTGGCTTATTCCTAGGAGCTCATACAATACTGACACATTAGAATTCAACTGAAACACAGAAAAAACCACTATATTAGAACATTTGTATGCATTTTCTTCTGAATGAGTAAATGACAAAAAGAAATTGTACCTCAACTATGAAACTATGGATGGTGCTGCCAATTTGAGCTATCAATTTCCCAGAGAATGAGTTATTTATGCACGGTAACATCGAACCCAAGCTACTGTTTTGTGGATTTTTCTCAAAGTCCTCTAAGGCAGAACAAGCATCATCTGCAAAACTGCATTCACAGTGAAAAAAGAGTTTAAAGAATCGAACTCTAGCTACTAATATAACTCAAGCATGGATGAATCAGATTACTTACGTGTGAAGGAAGTAATCAAAACCAGTCAAGAACCAACACAGGCTTGTTAGAATCCAAAGGCATAGAATTATGCTGAAATTAAGCCAATGAAAATATAAGACTTATATAGCTGATGCGAAGAATAACTAACTAGTATAATTAACATTGATATCGCATATAAAAGAATTTAGAAAATAGCACTCTATCTTACATTATAAATCCAGGACGCCAATACAGTAGCATTAGAACTGTGCCAAAACAAAACCAAATCAATGGTTTTAACCAATTGTTTAAGGAAATTAGCCAAATATTAATAATGAAGTTTCAATGGTTTAACATGGAGTAATGCTTACCTAGTGATGCAACCAGTGTTACTAAATTGAGGCCTAGAACAACGATATGGGCTGTATGCCTATGAAACGTTAAGAGCGAAAAATCAATGAATCAAACTAAATTAGAGATTAGTTTAAAGGGAAAACAAGTTTAATGCTGCATACGAAGTATGAGTGGCTTTGTTGAATGATTGTTCACTTCTGTCAATAAAACGACGAATCACGCGCGAGTTTGTTCTAAGAGCTTCGGTTGTGGAATTCAAGCTCATAGATATTTGTGGGTTATATGGAAGTAGAAGATATTCTATTTGTTTAGTTGTTCTCATTACTCTTCCTATGGCCTCAAGAGCTTCTTCTCCTATATTAACCACAGTTTCTTTCAGTTTTTCCGTCCTCCGAAGAGTTCTCTGACTTGTTGCAAGTACAAAACTCGAAGCAATTCTGTCATAAATTTAAATACACAGTTGCTTCAATTTCATTTTCATCCAAATAACGTTGGCCTTAACCAACTAATAATTTATTTATGTAGCACTGACACTTCTGATAAAAATGTGTCCGTGTTAGACATGTGTTTGTGTCTGACACGAAAATTGAGACTTACAATGCGAGAGATGTTAGTATGAGAAGGAGGAACAAAATGTGGATATAGTAATGATCCAAGCATGATAATGAAGGAGTGACACCACTTAGAGACTTGACAATGATGAAGATACCTAAGACCAGTCCAAATAACAACCAAACTCCGGCAAACGAGTATCCATGAACTCCTGTAAATGCCGCAGACTGAAAACATCAGAAACCAATACTCAAAAATCAATCTCAAATTCTTCAATCCTACAAAAAAAGATAGTCAAAAAATGTGTGTTGAAGTTGGAAAGTGACCAACTCACAGCTAAGTAATGTTTGTTTCGAACATCAAAGTCTCCGTGATAGTCTTTAAAATGTCGTAAAGGATCAGGCCTATTGAAGGTTCTTCCATGGACAGGCGAATCCGAATCCAAAGACAAACATTTACGCGGAAGTGAAACGGCGAACAAGAGAAGTAAAAGAAACAAGGTGTGATTGGTTGAGTTGAGCATGTTGGTTTATGGTTAGCGATGAAATTATGAAAAAAGACAACATTTGGTTTTGTTGTAAAAATGGTGACAAAATGGAATTTACGTGTAACTGAGTGAGCAAGGTAAGAATAGCTTGTAGCATGGTTTTGTTAATGTCAAGGAAGGACAAATGGTTATGTTAAAAGATGGAAGTAACGAATCATAAGCCGAAATTGTTGCTTTGTCTAATCTAAGTAAATTGACCATTTTTTTTATATATCATTTTTATTACCAAAGTTTGTGTCTTTATTCTTAAGATTATCAACTTTTACTATTGCTAGTTTCTCTCTTCTTGTTTTTTTTTAAATCTTTTTTTCACTTTGGCTTTTGAGTTTGTGATTTGGATATATACGTAGCGTGGAATGAATGAACCCAAAAGAAAAAAAACAGAAAACTAGCTTTGTAGTATACGCTTTTCTTTCGCCCTCTTTTCTTCACACTTTTGGTTGATGTGTGACTAGAGTTATTTGGGTGTAATTTTAAATGTTAAGGACTATTCGATTGTATTTTTTGGTGATTTTGTTTGGACTTTGGTCTTTCATAAACTATTGTTTTCAGTTTTTCAATTATTTTCAAGTAAGTTCTTTAATTCATTTCTATTTATTTAAAAAAGTCTAAAATTTTCATAAATTGATTTCATAAAATTGTTTTGAACGTTGTTTTATTTTTAATGTATTATTCAAATACTTAGAGTTTCTTTTAATGAAATATTTACACGACAGTGTGTTGTAATTTGAGAGAATCTAAAATAATTTAAATAAAAATTATTATTTGGATAAGAAAATAGGAAGAATGACTAAAATAATAAGAATTTATAAAATATTTTATTTAAGTTAAATTTAATAATTTTGAAATAACACGTAAAATTAGATAATTTAACATCCCTCTCATACTTTATAAAATGTGAATTTCAAATAAGTTAATATTATTATTTCAAATTTTATAAATTAATCTCTTTAAATTTTTAGAAATTGCAAATTAATTCATATTTTTCAAATTTTGAATGTGACACGGAAATTTAAAATTAATAAAAAATTGACTCAGAAAACTTAATAATAAATTATTTTAATGCATTATCCAAACAAAATAATTTAAAAATAAATTAATTTCAATTAAATTATTTAAATTACTTAAAATTTAAAATTACTTTTTAAAAAATTCAATTATCTCTAATGTTGCATTTGCCTTATGATAAGGTGAACTTCTTTAGTCTTGAACTCAACACTTGCTTTGAGGCCCTGTCAAAGCTGATTCTACATAACCATTTCTATTTGCTTTAAAATTGCTTTCATGATCCATGATCCATCGATTTTCACGGGTGTTGTCATAATATTAGCATGTTTGGTGTAATAGACATGTATCCACTTAATCCACTAGCTTTCCGTTTTTCCACTAAGATTTCATTTTCAAAGCAGTTTTATAAGATTAGCATGATTCCACTCACTTAAGTGAATCGGGTTTACACCACCATGGTTCTTAGGGGAACAAACATTCTCCCAAGCTACTAGAGACTTTCTTGAGATAACTCCCTTACCTGTCCATAAAAAAGTTTCGCAAAGAATTTTGTTTAGGAGTTCTTGAGACATGCTTGGTGTGACGTCTTAAGGTTTTGTTTAGGAGTTTGAAAAGAAATATAGCAGTGAATTTTGAAGAAAAAGAAGAAGAAGAATGAAGTGAAAACAATTAAAGAATTTATGTGGAGAGAGTTTTGAAAATTTTAATTTTATTCTTAACATAAATTTTTCTAGTTTCAAGGAACTCATATTTAATTATAATCTCTAATGGTTGTTCATTGAAAATTGCTCGTCTTCTATTAATATTTGTTACAAAATTACAAGAGTTTGTACAATCACAATATCTAATTTTAACGCTGAAATTATGGATCGTTGACTTGTACACAGTCCACAAACTGAACTCTATCTGAAATTATAACTCGATATCACTTCTTGAATCTTCCATCCCCAACAACTTGTTCCTAAGTCTATGTTCTGCGACAATCTTTATTCGGTCACATTGGTATCTTGAGCGTTGGTCTATCCAAAGATTGATAAGAACTCCTACCATGTGTGTACGCTTCCGCACATCACTACCAATGTTAAACTGGAGAGAAGAACCTTCTTTTTTTCCACTGGAATTGTCAGCACCATTCACAATACCACACACCTTGCGAACCTCTGAAACATTAACCAAATCTCCAAAGAAACTTTAAATTCAAAATCGAATCTCCTCAACAATTACGGATCTCCAAAGGTAAGATTCAGATCCATGCAAAAATGGAAAAATAATGAGGTAGAAGTTGAAAGAAATTGTTTGCAAGTATTCACAAAAGATATAAAACTCTTGAAAAATGAAAGAACATATGTTTTATGGGTTTTCAAATTAATATTGGAAGTATGAGTTTTATAACATGCTTAATTCGAGTCATGAGAATATGAGTGATTTGAGTCAAGTAAAAAATTAGTTTAGATCAAGATCTGTACATATGAAAAACCCATTTAACCATGCTTTTAGTCCATGAAAAACATGTGATTCGAGTCATAAATAGTATGATTCGTGTTAAGAATAACTTGTGATTCAACTCAAACAAGGCATGTAAACATCATTATTTCATGATTCGAATTATGAAAAACTTGTGATTCAAGTCACCGGGTTCTATGATTCGAGTCATATATAACATGTGATTCGACTCACAAAGTCTCTAATTTCCCTCTATTTCTTCTGATTCGACTCACAGGGTGTGTGATTTGAATCACACGCCTAAAATCTCAATTTTTGTAATTTTTTGAAGTTGTTTAGATATTCCACTGATGTCACGAATTAAACCAATCTCAAATATGGTTCTTGACCCAAAAACTCAACTAAATGACTTTAAGCATATTGCTCATACTCAAATATAAACAGTTTGATTTATGCATGTTAAAATATACGGATCTAAAACTCCATCCAGAAATACACAATTGAAGAGGAGACTCAATGATATAAAAATAAAATCAAAACAAAGCTTAAAAGACATGCATCAAAATCATATAGGTGAGACGTGCACAGTCTCCCACTTAACGTATCATAAACATGCAACTTCATTTTCCCCCTTTTTATGCTTGGCAAACTTTCACTTAGAATTGAGTCGACTTCAAGCAAAAGCAGAGTGTAATTAATGCTTTCCTTCAATTGCTTGTGCTCTCTCAAACATAAAATGTATAAATCAAATCTAGACTTACATTACAACTTCTCCCATTTTGACAAGATCAAACAGAGATAGATACTAATGAGCCTAAACACAAAATAACCAGCAACACAAACAATATTCTAGAGAAACAAATGAGTTATACATATCTAAGAAAAATATACAATATCAGATACCAAATACAGAATATGAAGATACACATGCTAAATAACACATACAACTACACACAAAAAATAAATACGTGATCAAAACTTCTATGAATGGAAGGTTAAATAATGCATGAACAAACATAATGCTCAAATGCACATGATTAACATGATGTACTTACAAAGTGTTAAATGCAAAAATGATCAATCATTCAGCAACTTAGGAATGAATGGATAAGATGAAAAATGTAAGATGTAAACAAATGAACATATATAGAACAAAACACAAACAATGATATTACAATATAGAAGAGTTATAGAAATATACCAATAAGGTTTGTTAAAAAAACTTGTTATAAGAAAATGTTAGTGTACAACTGTTAGCCTAGAAATTTTAACATGAAGAATGCAATAAATAATAGTAACAATCACATTTGAAAATGCTAAGTGTCACGAGTATTAAACATGGTTTCGACACATTGACTAGGTTGACTAAATATGGTTCGACTAATTCATCAAAGATCTAGGGTATATGGTATTTCAATTTACATGAATCCTATTTTAGAGGAATCTCAAGAACAGATCCACAAGAGTAGGATCACTCTCTCTTCCAAACATGTCCAAAATCTCGAAAAAGGTTATGCAAATAAGCTCTTCGACAAGTGTCGAGTTCGACACATCTATCAGATGTTTGGGACTTAGGATTTTCTTGAATCTAAATATTAGTTGATGTTAAGGTATCTAAAAATTTCTAAAGAATTCGAATAAAGACTCTCGACGGAGGCAGTTAAGAAATTCAAGAGAAGTTATCAACATGATAGTGGGTTTGCAGCAATTTAAACATTGCAGGCGCATGGAAACAAACTAGAGGGATGAAGCCCATGTAAGGGGATACGTGTCAATTTCTATAGAGATAATTGTTTTCGTAGGTTAGCCTTCTACTAGTATATAAGTTGACCTCAGGGTTATGGTCGAGGGTCGCAAATATCTCATTTATTCTCTATAGAACTAAAGTACCCAAGTTACACAGCAAAACAATTTGTGATAAATGTACGAGTTTGTGTCATCTCTCTTACTTTTTAAAGCCTTTTGTATTTGAAGCACTTACTTTAATATCATCTATTTCGTTTATTGTTTATCATCTTTATCCAAAGTTTGATGCAATTAGAATATATATTTATCTCTTAAAAATTCAAGCATTTAACTTTCAATTAGAAACAATTTTTCTTTGCAGTTCTTTATACACAATTTGCCCTTGATATTTTTTCGATTTCATATCTTAAGTGAAATAAACTTGTGGTTGTTTACTAAAAACACCAATGTAACGCGGTGGGAGAACTGACTTGGGTGTTTTGTGTTTGATCTCAATTGTTGCGGATAGTAAGATTCGCCATCGACTTTTCTTTTATCCAATAAGGAAAGGTTGAAAAGAACAGGAAAGACCTTTCGAGAGTTTTCTTGAGTTCGGGGGGTAGGTTATGAAAAGGGAAGGTGTTAGCACCCTTTTCATCTGTAATTATATACGTGCTCTTAGTTGCTTTCTAGATCACTTGCTTTTTGTTTGAAAATGTGCTTGTGGTGTGGGTTTTGAAAGTATTTTAAAAAGGTGTCTTTGTAATGGCTCTCGTTTCTCTAAGAACACATACAAAGTG